AAACATAAGCTAAAGCAAAACATCTCAGCATTTTATCTTGTTCTTATTTTGTATATAACGAGGTTCAAGCCAACGGGGTGACCTTCGGGGCCCTGACTGAGCTCTGGTGGTGTCCAGGATTCTGAGTACGAGGCCGAAGGTTTCAAGGCATTGCGCCAACTTCTTTTTTTGATGCTTAGTCGTCCTTCATCTCGGTGTTGTGCTGATCCACCGGATGTCGTATAAGTGAGATGTCCCCAACTTCGTATTGTGTTTTAGTTAGTTTTTTTTTCTCGTTGGGTCCGTTTTTTTCTGCGTGTTTGTTTTTGCAGGTATGTACTTTTATACTTCTTTTCTTTCTTTCTTTTTTATTACAGCAGATTTTGAAGCACAAGAACAAGATGTGGAGCACCGATGGACTCTCCCTGGATGGAAATGTAGAATGTATATACTAAAGACTTTTCTTTAACCAATCAATCAATAAACAAACAAAAATATATCATATACAAAATTATGTTGTTTTTATATAGTTTACATTTATTGTCTTTGCACTTGTATATCTACAAAACATAAGCATTATTATAAAATTAGATAAGAATGAATTCTGGTGCTTTATGTAGGAGTATTAGTTAAGCTCATATAAAAGCAAAGTAAACAAAAAAAAACAATAGTAAAACATAATCAATTTGAATAAGGGTAGCTATCTTGAAATCAAATCACAAAAGTCGAATATACCCATGGGGATTTTGATCAAAGGCACTATATTTAAGATTATTTTTAAGTAAAAAGTAATTGAGAGGTTTATACAAATATACATTTTCAGGATAGCTTTAAGAAATATCTAATAAAGATATACCGTAATGTAAAGCAATATAACTATTCTTTCTAGAAACCAGGGTTTTATTACGGGTTTCTGTCTACATTCTCTGTTTTATATATAAAAAGCAGCTACATTTGTATGCTAAGGTTTTCTTTTAAAAACAAAATGAAAAAATATAAGTGGAGTATGCGGCTCAATATGTATCTAACAAAATAGAATTACTGAGGATTGTACATAAAGTATTATTAATTTGATGGTGTTTCTTTACTGAGTATTTCTTAAAGCTGCACTAGAAATAGACATTGTACATATACTACAGAAATTTGTATATCTCGCCCGAGTCTCAACATCTAAGCATTGATACTTTTTACTTGATTCTTAAATGTTGCGTTTCGGATTTTTCTTTAGACTTACTACAGATACTAAGATGTGTGAATTGAAATATCGATACATCAAACTGCTAGACTTCTAAAGCTGATGAAACGCCCTAATATTAGAACAAGATCAGCCTTTTTTTGTATAGAAATAGCACCCCGTGAGCATGTTTTGTTCTGTAAAAAAAGTTTAATTTTAAAACTGTCTTGGAGAGTAACAGACACTTAAGTAATGAGATATATTTACATATGTATGTATATTGATCTCATATAACAATCTCTGTGATATCCAAAGATGCTTTTCTTTACGTAAAAGGAATATTCAAGAAATTACTGGCTTACACAAAGAAAGGAAGGGGAAAAAGGACGCTTGGAAAGCTACTTATTTAAATAAATAATAATTCTTACTCTTTATTAAAGGATTCAAAATGACATTTAAAAAAATGAATTAATAGGGACAAGACTTAATCCAAGCATAGTTGAAATTTAGATGTGGATATGAGAACTTTTTCTTTTCTTTTCTTTTCAAGAAAAGGTAGCTTGCAAACCAGACTAAGTTATACCAGCTTAGTGCAGTATATATCTTTATTATTTACAGTAAGCAATACTATTATTTCATTTGTCAGAGTCTTTATTTCCTTGAACAATAAGGTGCAGGATATTATATTGATCTTTTATACTTGGCAAACGTTACCTTTTTTTTCTTTTTTGGATGACAGGTCTTGTACTCTATCTCTGCTATTAATAGGCATTTTCGAATTGGGCTCTAGCTACTGTATTATTACTAATTATTTGCAAACTGCTGATATATATTTATTGATCTGTGAAAGATATCTTAGCAGTTTGTGAGTGATTAATAAAAATGAAGATAAAATAAAATATATTTGGATAGATTTTTTTTTACCCAGTACCATTAATACTTTTTTCTTTATGCTCGTCAAGAGACTCTTGTGTTTCCCAAGCCATAAATTACTTGTAGGCTTTGTACTTGATGGGAAGTCATAGTATATTACTTTTTCTTTTTACTATTATTAAGCTTGCAGTACATACATATACATAGACAAATATTGTGAATTTAATAAAGTATATACACATTATCCCTCCGGTTTGCTTTCATATTTCCTCTCCTTAATTGTTTGAGACCATTTGCTCTTACAGAGTCAATGGACAATGTAACTTGATAAAGTACTTTGGCCAAAATTGATATAGTGTTAAAATAAAAGAAGAAAACACTTCCGAAGACCCAAAATAAAATAACAAATTTTTGAATATTTTCCAAATTTGAATAGCCTTTCCTTCATTTTTCGATCTTTATGACTGTTAGTGTTCATTTTGTACGATATGACCAGGGATTTGTGCGACCTAGACTTTATAGGATGTACAAGAAAAAGAAGGAAAAAATATGTGTAGAAAGATCTCTTGGGACAGTTTTGTTTTTTAAGAAAAAGAAAAATATTGTTTCTGCCACATTAAAATGCTCCTACAATTTTCTTGTACTGCAAGATTGAGTAATCAAAGGTAAAAACATGGCGTTGATTTATTATATGACATTAGATATATATATATATGTGTGTGCATAATTAGATACACACAGCTAAATACTGAGGATGTGTATAGAAGCTTTTTGGTCGCTTTGTTGTTGTTACACTTTTTTAGAGACACAAATGTGTTACATCTTTGTATATCTTATAATATAGTATAATATTAATATGGGGAACTTGCCAGAAAAAAATATTTCCACAGTTATACACAACTTTGTTTTGTTTGGCAAAGCATTACTCCCATTGATGTGTGCAAATTTCTTGATTATATTATATTTTATCTTTTGTTCTTGTACTAGAATATTTTAAAGCACAAGACCAATAATTCTGAGGGTAGTAACTGACTTTGGTACACTTCATCGAATTTTTGCCTGTAATGATATATAGTGTGGTTTCAATTCAGCTTTACACACCCACAAGACATCACACGCATGCACACAGATACACATGAGTATATATATTAGGGATTTAGTTGAGCTACACTAAGTTTCAAGAATTATTCTATACTTGTCTCATCCGACCTTAGTTGGCCGAGTAAATGGGTGCATGGTCCCTGATTGTTGTACAGAAGAAATGAAGGAAATGAAAGAAAAAATAAAAAATAATCATTGAACGAATTCATTTGTTATTCATTTGTAAAACAGTACATAGACTATTTTGTATCTATACAATAAACACAAGAAGTGTTATGATACTTCTTTGTCAGATTACTTGGCACACAAAAATCTTAATACCAAGAAATCCTTTTTATTACCAGAGTCTTTAAAGAGATATATATGTATCTGGTTAAGGTGGGGAGACATGGATGATAATGGGTGGTTTATTATTAGTTTCGTTTTGATGAATTGCTAAAATTGATCAAAAGCTTGTCAAGTATATAAAGTACATTGTGGATAAATTGTTTAGTCATCCCATTTTATTTGATTTTCGACTTTGATATACTTCAAAATATACATCAGATGAGAATATTTTGATAGTATGTCAAATGTATCTTGTTAATATATAAAACTAAAATAATGATCTTATATCGGAATGCCTAGGTATCCGCCTTTTTCATTTTCATATTCTTCCTGGACACAATAAAGCAACCAATTGTAAATTGAGTACTCATTATTGATATTATTACTATTACTTGCCAAAGTATGAAACATACAAAGCCTCCAATAGATAATGCAAAGATAAGCAAATGGCGTGCCTTTTATGAACAACAGTAAAATGCTCAAGATTAAAAAAATAATAATATAAAAATTGTGGTGATACATGGTAATTGTGCACCAAACAGACAAAAGATAATATATATATAATGAATAGTTGAATCAAGGGTAACTGACTATACAGTTCGATATATAATGACATTCGACTCATTTATCAATTAATACATATACATTGGATCACTGTTTTCTATTGAGAGAGGAATTGTATTCCCTTTCTATCCTACCAAATCTGTTGGTTAAAATAAATACATTTTCTTTATATATATACTATAGTAATACAAAAGAGTTTTTCTTGTGTCCTTTCTTATTACTTGGTTTCACAGAAAGAAATAATCGTGGAGTCATTTTTGTAGGTAGTTCAGTCAGTCAGTCTATCACTTTGCGTGGTTGATATATAGATAATACAGTGATCCGCAGTCAGAATAATATGAAAAGAGACAAACTCACTAACCCACCCAATGCCTCCCTCCATTTATCAAATCCAAAATACCATTAGATGGAGAAGAATGTTGCAAGAGATGAATAGAGTTGTTCAATCTCTTGTGTATAATAAGTCAATTATCACTAAATTTTGCTGCCCTTCACTATACTATACTATACTATACTATACTATACTATACTTCACCTCACTTTCCAATCCTTATGTTTTTTTTTTAAAAAAAAATGCATGCATTTATTATTATTATTAGATAAGTGAGGCATTCTAATGATGTCTAAGATTAATATGCTAATGTCTCCTTTCCTTTTTTCTTCTTCTTTTAATTCAATTCACAGAATCCTTTAAAAACCGGCAGTAAAAGCTTTCATGATATAAAATTTCTCGGCCACCGTGTGTTTGTGTTTGTGTTTGTGCTTGTGCTTGTGTGTGAGAGAGTGTTTGTGTTTTTTTTTGTGGCTGGGTATGTGCGTGGGTGTGCGTGAAAGTGAGTATGACGATCCTGACACATAGCTTCTTTTTTTTCCAGTTTCTCTAGACCTTCTGGGCAGGAGGGCTTGGCTCAACGGGATATTTACGCTCGCTAGAATCTCCAGTCTCAAGGTGCAACTTGATGATGATATCCACAACCTGTCTTGGGAGACCCTGTGCCACCGCAATATCTGCTGGCTCCATCTTTCCCATATATCTTCCAACAACTACACCTCTCTCGAAATCGGAAACTCTTCTGTTTCTTGGTGCAGGGGCAGGTGTAGATTCCTGGATGCGTCTTGTAGAAATGGCAGCAGACATGATAGAATGGATTTATAAGAAAATTTACAACGAAAGAAAATGTATGCTGATAATTTTTAATTGAATAGATCAAATCAAAATAAAATATGGAATAATGTTAGAATCAAAGACATTATGAATGTACTTTATATTTTTGGCTTGTATTTACCTGATGAGAGAAACTTTTTTTTGGGATGAAATCAAAGAATGCAACAACTAAAGCAACCAAGACAAAGTTTACATGTCAGCTCAAAACATTAATTCAATTCTCAGGGCAATTGGTATAGAGTCTTTTTGACAAAGAGAAAAGTGAAAAAGTGAATAGGGAATAATGGTACATACCGAACAAGAAGTGTTGGTTGAAATGTGAGTGCAAATGAATAGACAAATGAAAGAGAACGAGTGTTTGGATTTCATGATTTGGCTCTTATTTAACCAAAAATCGCTTGGGACCCAGGATTAGTTATTGTCAGGGACCTCTTGCTCAGTTGTGATCACCCTATTAGTTCAGTCTCCCCGCTGTGTTTTTTTTCTTTCTTGTTTCTTTGCAACACCTATTCTAGATGTTACACTTGAATACCAACATGTTCTTTGTTAGTTTTGTTTGGTCTGTGACCCTGTCGCTTGGGCCCCCCCATCATTTCTTATTTCTTATTTATTTTTCCTTTACTTCCCATGACTAAAATGTGTAAATTGGGTTTTGGTATAAATTTATCACTTATTATTTATTAACAAAAGAAAAAGCCAAAAAAAATGCTCCGTTTGTGCTGGTATTCTTAATATTAATAATATTGGCTTTTCATTTTATTTATCTGCTGTTAATAATGCAAATGATTATTCTTACTTTTATCCTTATTATTATTTTTCTATTCCTATTATGAAAATATAATATACAATAGACATTGAATTGAAAATGTCTCTTTATATCGTCTTGCTCCAAGGAGATAAAAAAATACTAGTGTCATTTTTTTTTATGTGCCTGTATTTTCAATAGGCTGGTAAGCTTTCATGTACCACCCTTGAATCGTAGTACGAGAACCAATTTTGGATACTTTGTCCAAAGGGTCCCAAACCTCTCTCATACTTGAGCACCCGTGAATTCTGGTGATCTAATATTAACAAAAAAGAAATATTAAATAGATAAATAAATAAATGATAGCTTAATAACGAGTATCTAGCCTTTGACCGCAAAAGATAGAGATATAGAAGAGCAAAATTGATCAAAATAAACAACGATAATAAGACCAGTGATCATATGTATAGTCTAATTATTAAGATTGATAAGCGATGAGTTCTTATTGCGTATCTTGAGAGGGTATTGCTCTATGTAGTTCATGTAATGTAAATTAAAATGAAAGTCATCATATTATTATTATTCAACGGTGTACAACAGCAACAAAACGAGATTTTCCGTCAAGAGATTTGCAAACCATGTACAGAATACACACACAGATATATATATGCACAAACGCACACACATACAAGCACACGCACGTACACACCTGTACACAATAAACATCAATACATTTAATAATTCTTTGCCTTTTTTTTAATTTTTTTCTTGTGATCTTTAAAATTGGATGATATATTTTACAAATCTATCGAACGCTATATTCAATTACATTTAGGCATATATGTAAGTAAGTATATACATACATACATACATACATGCATTCCACAAAGGCTTCATAGGTATAGGTGATTATACTCCCTACCTTTTTATCAATAGAATACCTATTGAAATAAGAGCAATGTTTTAATTAAACACACACACACACATATATATATATATATAAAAATATTATTAATATCTTGTGGGTCCCGGATAGTTATTTTCCTGTTCTTTGGTTCCTAAAGTAATATATCAATAATTAATAATCTATAGTTTTTTGGGAGGCTTAGAGCTTTCAGTACAGGAACAATGACGGCCCAACCAGACGGCCAGATAGCCAGACAATAAGGATTGCTTTTTAATAGCACATATTAAGTACATTTTAGTATTATAATATAATTAAATGTATAAATAAATAAAATATATAACACAAAGCTATATAAATTGTCGTAATATTTTGATAGAAAAAAAACAGATGCGTGAGAATTAATATTGGATACCTTTTTATTTGATCATCACTTGTGGTTTGTCCACAATTCACACCAAGCAGGAATTATATCTCTTTTGGTATCCAAAAAAAAATTATTCTTTTATTATAAATCCTACGGACAGTCAAACATTAAACACCCTAAATTTCCTCATACAGAATTTCCCATTAAAAATTGAAACAACTCAAAGCTAAATATATTTGAGATAGTTCACCTTTCAAAAAATATTGATGCTGTCATTAACCCAACCTTCACAAATGTATTTACAAGTTTGGCTGTATGTATGTCAGCTTTATCCATAATCAACTAATAAAGAGTGACATTATTCCTGTTTAAACTGGTCACGATTTTCTTGACAAAATGTAACCTACTTTACATCCCATCTAGTGTGTTTATTTTCTCTTAGACAGGCTTCTTGTTTCTGTTTTAGTATGAATCCAACTTTGGATATATATACATCCTTAAGAACAAGAAATCATTCTAGCAAAAAAAAAAGTCTCTTTGAAAATTCCAATAGTTAACTGACAGTCTTCATCTAAAGCATAGCATCCTGGATAAACCTATTAGCTCAGCATGGTTTCTTTCTTTATATATATTAGCTCTTCTTCCAACATAGCGCTTGATGATATTGTTGATAGCTTTCTAGTTCAAGTTGAATAGTTTTGTCACTTTGGCTTTACTTTGATCCTCTTTCAAAACTTTATTGACAATCGATTGCTTCATGTGAGCATTCATAACCTTATTATTTCTTGTATTTTTCTTAGCAAAAGATGCATTATTGAGATCAGTGGGCTCTTATATAGAGCCTTGTTATGCATTTCATCAAGTAGTTATATATATATATATATAAGAAATGTTTGGTTTTTCTCATTTTGGAATGCGACAATCTGTATGAGGAAAGTACTTGTTGCTACTTCAGATATTACATTACCATATGTATTGTACTAATAATTAGGCACCCATATTAATTATCTTTGTTTCTTGTTATCCCATTTAGCAATACTTCATAAAGATATGTGATATGTTAATTCGCGATAATGAAAAAAAAATTGGCTTTTATTATTGATACTTGAATATAATGGTTTAAAGGCGTCCCCGATTTCTTGTTTTGTAAATGATATATGTTTTGTGTGTGTCTGTCTGTCTGGATCCAAAGTTTTGCGTTTTTTTATGCTAAAACGCTCAATCTCCGTATCTGTCCAAGGATCACACATCTAATCTCATCATTGATCAGGTTTACCCAGATAAAATAATGCCTGGTGGTCTGATTACTTGGAATGCAAGGGTTCCATCATTCAAACTATTAATATCAGCTGCATTTTTTTCTCTCTGGAAAATGGCCCAAATCGTGCAAAGTCTTTGCCAATTGCGAATGTGTTGCTCATTTGACTAAAGGATTCCATTTCCCAGACAAAAAAAAACTAATCAATAGACCCAAACCCTCAACATGGTAACATCAATCTGGCTGATGGATGCATCCGAACGATCGTAACTGAAGTAGAAGAATGCCCGGGTTGTCACTTCGTCCTGATCAATCATTAGTCGAGTTTTGACATTGTAAGAGCAACACTCTAACAATTTCTTTTACGTAAAATATTTTATATTTTTTAAAATATATATATATAAAGTTCGACTTTGTTTTAAATGAGAACTTGAAGCAAAGAAAATTTGAAAAGTAACCCCAGAAGTTATCTTTCATGAAATTTGATCTTTAATGTTGCCTATTCAAAGTCACATAGTATGGGCAGACCGAAAAGTTCAAAAAAAAAAGTTCAAATGACTTTTACTGGCTAGTTATTTTTTTTCATTGCTAATTGGATTGAGAAGATTATGCTTTTGATGGAAGAGGCATTATTATGAGCACTTATCTATTATGCATTTGAATTAGATTTGAACATTTTGTTTTTGCTTTGAACTTTTGTCTGTCTACCCCAACACTATATATAAAGGAAAGGGGGGAGGTTAGCGTAAATGATTCTGAGGCGTTCACCTAATTGTGGTTGACCACGACTAGATAAACGCCCTTCTTTATTTTTATTTTTATTTTGCTATATATAGTGTGTGGCGACATTAGATCTTATATGTGTACAACATCGATTCTATACCTGGTACAACCTTTTCTTCTCTTTACTTTCTGGAAAGACATGTATATATATATATCTATAGGCAGAAAGAAATATAGAAAGAGATATACGATATGGTCATATATATATTAAATGGCCTATGCAAATATCCATATAAAATTATTACTTGATTACTAAAAGAAAGTTGTTTGTTTTTCTTTGTTATTTTTATTTTACGCAAGTACTTGCTTTTGATATTATTAGTGTCAAACTCACCTGACAACCTTTTTGCCAATCACCCAAGAAAAGCTTGGCTGATCAGAAAGTCTGACAGCTTTCTGGTCGATAGAGTGGTACACAATCACATGTCCGAATCAATAATAGGCCACAATCCTCGTACAAGCAGTATAGATAAGTGAAAGGTCAATTATTAATAATCAAGTCAAGTCAAAGCAAGACATTTGAATTGAAATGAATTGAATTGAAACGAATTTAAATTTGAAACCAAAAAAGAAAAAGATAAAGAACAAAATTACAATGTAAATTGACCACAGCATAGATTACTTGGAAGACTATTAGAAAGAATTTTCTGTTTAAAATAAAAGGATATATGTGTAGATATGGTACAAAATATAACCCTAAAAAGCAACACGATGACAAGACCAAAAGAACAGAGTAGACACGCACTTTGAGGATGAAGATCAAAACTCAATAGAATACAAACCTATATACATATATAAAATGGAATACAAACATCAAGGTAAAGAATCTTGGTTGAATTAGTTGCAGAACAAGAGACAAAGTTAGCACGTATCTGTATAAAGATCCGTGACTAGGTTTGATCGAAAGAATTATGGTATTTTCTCGGATCAGTGCAGATGTAGTAAGAGCTATATACTTGACCTCTTGGACTTGAAGCAACGAGGAGCTTGATTTTTATGTATATATATATAAAGAATAAAGCAGAACATAGCAGAGCAGATTAAATCTGAGAATATTGCTAGTATTCAGTACACATACACATACATATATTGTGCACCATTTGAAATGGCCATTAAAGTTGAATCTCGGTAGTATGTATGTATATATGTAGATTCAGTCCAGTCCAGTTCGATTCAGTCTAGAGTATGCTAGTATATGGTGGTCTAGCCTAAGCTTCCTCTCCTTCTTTGAATAGAGACGATTTTCTCTTTTTATAAAAGATAGGATGAGGAGTCTGTTTAATGCACACAGAAACACAGACAATTTGGGACATTAAATTGGTTACACATATACAGTTTGATTTCTTCTTTCTTTTACAAGACATTCTGCTGATACACACACATATATATAGATTTACTTTTATAGATAGAAAGAAAGACAGGCGTGTATCTTGTATAACCCCAGACAATGAATATTGCCTTGCTCAAAATAAACCAAAGCCTAGTCGTTATAAGGCACCCTTTACTGTTAAACATCTAATATAAAGGACTACCATAGACAAGAATCACATAGAAGAAGATGTGAATGAAGCTTAAGATTCAACCGAGACATTTTTTAAGCGGAAGTATAAATCAAAAGGTATTTTCTCCCCTCAGTGTGGAATCGGAAACCAAACTTTTTTTTTTCAGTGTAATTTTTTTCTTCTTCTTTTCTAATTTCTTTTCTTCTTCTTTTCTCTACCTCTAACAACAACACCGCTTATTATTAGTATTATAATAATAATAATATGTCAGAAACACCTACCACCAGCTGGATAGATAAACAGGGCAATTCTCCCCTTCCTATATGGGCACTCTCTGGATTAAGTAAGTTGATGAAAATAATAATACATATATGGTGTATTCAATCTGGTTTCAATTTTTCAATTTTAATTTTTTAATTTCTCTCTCTCTTTTGTTTATTTATTTATGTATTAGCCTTTGCTGCTGTACCCATGGCTGTCAAAAAGGCACCCGGAGTGCCTTCTCTACTGCAGTCCATGGCATTTGGTGCAATCTTTGCTGGTGCAGGGTGAGGTCACAAATCCACATATATTTATATTATATTTGTTCTTTATGTGCCTATGATATTCACATTTTCACAAGATATGTAACCAATACTGGTGACGCTGACAACGGCGCAGGCATTGCCACAGGTATGTTATTGTTCTTTGTTCTTATTGTTGTTACTGTACTAGACGTGCTGTTTGTGCTGTTGATTTACATATATATCTATACAACCAAATCTTTGGTATCTTTTGTAGCTTGGTGTCTTTCATGGACGTTTCTTAATGCTAAGCGTGCTGTGCTTTCTGGAAAACCATTTCCTTTATTGATGGTTGCCGCCGTGGCAGCTGATACAGCAATTTATGGTAAAAAATACCTTCAAGTGAATGGTTACTTGGCATGATTGGATAAAATATAAAAATATAAAAATATAAAAATAAAAATAATATATGCGGTCAGTTCAATTCTGCACTTTCTCTCTTTCTCTCTTTCTCTCTTTCTCTCTCTATTCTTTTTTTTTTTGCTCCCCCTTTTTTTTTGTCTTTTTTTTTATTTTTTTTTCTTTACTCTTTCGCTCTTCTTGCTCTTGCTCTATCTCTTTTGGGCTCTTCCTTTCTATATCTCTCTCTATTTCCCTCCCTCTCTTTATTCAGAGTGTCTTACAGAACCACCATTACATCTTACCATCCTCGAATGGACACAAGGCTTATGAACAGTCGTTCTCGAGGCCTACGGGAATCAACGGCTTATTTCCACCTAGCCTTTATGGTAGACAACATACACATACAAAAAAGGAAAACTAAAGAAGCTCATCCCACCCCTCAAACTTCCCTTCTTTTTTCTTCTTTGTCTCTTAAAACAATGTAGTTTGCAGGGCTTAGCGTGATGGCAATGGGTAAATCAACATTAGTATTTTTTTAATTTTTTAATTTTTTTTGGGGGGGAGTGAGATATAGAGTAAAGAGGGCATTTTTTTTGATTGTCAGATACACACATAAAGAAAAAAAAAAGACATGTATTTGTCACAACTTCTTTACGTCTGTTAAGAAGAAGCACATATAAGAATATACAATCTCCCTTTTCTTTGCTTATTCTGTATATTAATCTGTATATATAAATATGTGTGTGTACAATATGTATCATTTTCTTTTTATGTTTTAACCTTAGGAGCATATACTATAAACTCGAGCACAAGCATAACAGTATCACTGTCGCTCCTTCTTATCGGAGGAATCATAACAGTCATTAGTTTTATTGGCTGTTTTGGTGCGCACCTTGAACACACTGGGTTCCTGAGAACATACAGCAGTGCAACGACAATATTTTTGATCATACAGATAGGTAAAATTACCAAATACCATACATATTAGTATTTAGTATATATATATATATATATATATATATGATGAGCGAATTAATTTATATACAAACTCTTTCTTTTGTTTTATACACACACAAAATAAACAGCTCTTGTTGGTATTATCTATTGTCATCGTTCACAGGTAAAATGCAATCTGGTTTGATTTGATTTGATTTGATTTGATTTGATCCAATTCAATTCAATTCAATTCAATTCAATTCAATTCAATTCAATTAAATTAAATTCAATTCAATTCAATTCAATTGGATTAAATTAAAGAATATCATTATATAATACACACAAACACATTCTTTTAAGAAACAACATAAAACTAATAGAGGCATTGTGTAGATTGATTACTATGCAAGCTCTCTTTGGGACTTCTTTAACGATAATGACATTCGATTCTTGGTGGACTTTGAACAAGCGTAAGGACGACTTTTTTCTTTATCTTGTTTCATTTTGTTTGATATTTGCGTATAAACAATAAGGGGAAAAGGGTTTCAGACATAGTATAATAAAGGCGTTTGTTATAATAGTTAAGCTAGATGATAATAACGTTTTATTATTAATAATTCTTTCTTTCTTTACTTTACTTTACTTTACCTTTATGCTCTCAAACACTCACACAAAAAATGTATAATTTAATAGGTTTCACTGCTGCGGATATGGTTCAATTAACGATCGAGCAGTACCTAGTACATGTGCCCTTTCTTTAGATGTCGATTCTGGTTGTAAAGATACCCTTGTTCTTCTAGTAGGAACATGGTCAGAATGGCTTATTGGAGGCCTTGTAGTATTGCTTGCTCTTCAGGTAAATATCTTTATATACATAATAAAAAAAAGACTTTAAGAAAATAAGATTATAATTAGCCTGCTGATCATATAAACACACACACATATATATATATTATACAGTTGATTGCGTTGATTATTGTTCTTGTACTCACGGTGTTAATGGAACGTGACGCCAAAGAAGAAGAAATGTATCTGTCCTTGATCTCCAGACAAAATACAAATCATTCGTGGTTCAATGGAAATATGAACGGAGAAGGTCCGAGTAGTATCGGTATCGTTGGCAGTAGTAACGGTGGCAACGGTGGCATTGGTGGAAATGGAGGTTCCTTCTTTGGCAGATACCCCCAATCAAATTGGCAAAGGTCCAACTTTTACTCGCCTAACAACAGCAGCAGCAACTTCAATGGTAGCAGCAACAATAGCAACAGTGGCAGTATTAATAACATCATTAACAGCAGCAGCCTCGGCAACAATCCTCAACGTGTACCACGCTATGGAAGTACATACTCATCTTCAAAATAATGCTTTCTTTGTTTTTTTTCTCTTCTCTCTTTTATATACCCTCATTTACACCATTCACCCCCTCTTCCCCTCTATCGACCCCTCTCCCTCCCAAAAAGAAAAAAAATGTATATAAGAGAAGCAGAAGAAGACCAAAAAGAAGGAGCAGAAGAAGAAGAAGAAGCAAAAGAGCCAATATTACCTATTACCTATTACCTATATTTACTTACTTACTTACTTACTTACTTACTTGGCTATTCTACTATATATTATATTTCATTACTATTCTTTATTTTTATTTTCAATATTTTTTTTGTGCATTTTCACCCTCTGTTTATTTCAATTTATGATTGTACATTTCGCATTACTTTCTTTTATTTTCTTTCTCTTCTCCCTCCTCTTCTTTATTTTATAAATATATTTTTAAAAATATTTCAAAATAATATACAATTCTCAGGAATTTATTCAACTCTATCTTATCTTCTTTGTCTCGGACCATCTTTATTTATTTATTTACTTTATTTCATTCACAACCAAGTATATATTTTAGTTATTTTGAATACAGTCAGTACACAAACAAATTGCCGCAACTATAATAATAATAATAATAATCATGTCATTTCATTAACACACTAGAAAGTCTTTGGTTTTTCACTTGGCCCTATTAACCAGCAGGAGGAGCCTTTGTAACACATATTCACAGACTTATTTCCTACCTTTTATGTACAAATATGCATTATTATTATTATCATATTAGAATTAAAGGTTATTCTTACTTGCTGTCCAACCCAACCATCTCTTTAGAGATCATAAAACACACAATAACAATAACAAGGGTGGGTAAAATATAATAATAAAAATAATGTGCATATTTGTATACATAGAAAGAAAGAAAAAAGGTCAAATGTTTTGTCTTTATTGTTTTGCTTCTGTTGAATATAATGCGGCACACGTCAATGTCATTTTTGAAGCCTTGAAATAAATATATAATTAATAAGCATTGGTATTTTGTCAAACCCAAAATTTGCCACCAAAAAACAATAACAAAACAAATGGTATATTCAGTAGCAACAAAAATTACACTAATTTTTCTTTCTCTTTCTTTTTTTGAATATAAAATTGCCAAAGATTTCAATAGTTTTGCAGCTCATTCTTATTAATCTTTCTTTTACTCTTGAAAAACTGGATCAAACCTTGTTCGATTGAATTGAACCAAATTAAGTTTTAGTATATTATGAATACATAGGTATATAATACTGATAAATAGATTGATACAAAATATTACATTGGTAATATCTGATACAGTCAAGGAGTGTATACTATTACATTATAGTTTATCATAAGCTACTGCTATTTTATCTGTAAATATTCTTATAAAAATAAAAATTGTACACACCCTATATATAGTTTTTTTTGTAGCACATTTTATTTCTGTTTTGAATAATTTTTTTTTATAAAATAAAATATAATAAAAAAAAAAGAAATAATTATGGTTCCTTTATTAAAGCTGATCTCCGGATACTTCTTTTATATATATATATATATATGTATATATATATAAACAGATGAGAAACAGAGGAGCAAAAGATATATTTATATACACGATTTCCAATTGAATCCTTTTTTCCTCTATCATTTTATTGTTAATGATTTCATTTATTTTCAAGCCCTATACAGTTTAAAAACTATCTGTAAAAACAAAGCAAGTAAACTGTCAGAAACAGCAGCAGAAGCAACAACAAAAATGTAGGTGTAAAATATAAGGTTCATTCCACACAAGAAGAAAATAACCAAAAAATAATAATTCAAGGTTAATTCTGGGGGGGGGGGGGGGGGGGAAAATTATTCTGTTTCATTTATTCCTACATATATATATATATATATATAATTTTCCCCTTATTTTTGGGTTTGGGTGGTTGTTTTGGGCCGTTCCCTAAAAATATTGGGATTATCATTAAAAATTGTTCTTTTTTGGACCGGTTTTCCCAATCCAGCAAATTGGATACAGTTATTTTTTATTATTTCAGGCTTAAAAAAAAAAACTAAATGTTATATATACATACACACCATACCAAAGTGCACTACAGATACAGTACAAGTAATGAGTAGTGTTAAAATGATGATGACTTGATTAATTTACCAAACCAAATAATTTAAATCATAAAGGGCCCCTCTTTCTGTGGGTGTGTGTGTTTCAAAATTCATGCAAATGGTTGTTAAAGGCAACAGTCCCAACATTTAGTGATGTATTTTAGGTTTCTTTGTTTTTTTTTTAACAAACCACCTGAATTCACAGGACTCAACCAAAAGAAAAAAAACTTATAGCCCCTGCATAAATTTGCCAAGCAAGTAGATATCCATACATTCTGCTTGTAAAATGTCTAATTTAG